GAAAAGTGTATCCATGTAACCATGTGAGAAAAGATAATTTCATCCCATTACTATAATAATTAAGCCAATAAAAGACATTAGTCTTATAATTGAAAAGTAAAAAGACTTGCTGACCATCCTGTAGTAATAGTGTCTTGCAGCAAGCAATATGTACATGGAATTTTTAAGAGATGTTCCTATTGTAACTTAGTCTATGTTTCAACATCCGTAAAAGGATCAATGATGAAATTTTCTTGAAACAAAAAGGTTAACAATTCAAGGGCTTAAAAGAAAAACAGCAAACTCAGGAAAGCACAAAGACTATTTTGGAGAGATGCTTTGTACATGACTACAATGTCTTCACAAAATTGTACAAGTGTACTTCACCATTGAGTTAAAGATTTCTAGAAGACAAGGAGTAGTACATTACTTAATCCATTGTTGCCTACATTTTTAAGAAAACTTGTTGCCTGATTGAATGAAATCTGTCACAAGGTTTTAGAAAATGTTGTAGGATAAATTACAAAATCACTAAGTTTGGTCTAGCTTCAGGTAATCAAACTTTGATAGTCTTGTTTTGTAGAGATTCATGTTGATTGACAGAGGTTGAAAATTCTTTTTACTTATTGTAGCTTTTATTTCACCTTCCGTCCTATAGTAAGACAAGGGGATGAGATTTTCATTTAGGTGGATGGCTTCGAAATATTGGTTGAATTATATATATATAAGTAAAGAAGATTAAGAGAATGAGAAAATACATGTTAGAAAGTTTTATAAAATTTTTTAAAAATTAGGCTACTAGTGACATGTACAATCCAAAATTGAATGCTGGACAAAAATTCACTTGCGAATCTAATTTTAAGAAGGCAATTGAAAACTTCAAATGGAGATAGAGATGCATTATTTAAAAAAAAATGACAAAATTCGAATGATGGTAGTTTATCAACAACCATATTGCAAGTGGTTTATCCTGACTTGAAAGTCCAAACATTGTGAGTTCTATCTTGTGAAAACAATGGGACCTAAACATAGTTATAGTAGATTATTGAAGCTAAAATATGTTACAACCACTTATCCTACCAAGAAATATATGAGTTACTTGACATTGAATATGATTAGCATTGGAGACTTCACATAGGAGATGCACATTGACTTAAATATCAACATCACCAAAAAGCAAGCAAATCTATAGGGCATTTCAAAAGGCTAAACTAAATAAGTGAATAACAAGCAATAGAAACTTTTTATTTTACCTTTATATCATTCCAGTTCAACTATTACTGTTCTATTTTTTGCATTTATAAGGTTCTAGAATGACTTTACCATTTGAAGTAGCTGTAAACTTCTTTGTCTTGTCTTTCAAAAAAATTAAATACCCCATTCAATTAGATATTCCATCATATACTACCTCTATTTTTATGAAATCTTCTTTGATAACCATAAAATCAGTGACATTATTACATATTTAGGGCAACCATAAAATTTTTGCAAAGGAAAGACTTTTACAAGATTACTAATTACTATCCAAACAATCTCACTACAATAGCAATATATGATTTTATTGGCCCTCCAATTTTGAAAAAGATCCACTCATCACTTCATTTGTCATTAAATGCAAATCTCTATGCCTTACTTTATGTCACAATCTTTTTGCTCGATTGATTGGCAAAAAAGAGCCCCCCGGGGCTAGACCATCTGGTCTTGGGCTTCTTCCGAAACTCCAAGGTCAAGTGGTCGAATCCCACTTAACTCCCGGTGCGCTTGGGGTGGCGGTGTACTTGGGCGCAGGGGATTAGTCGGACAGCCTTCGGGTCTTTGACCCGGACACCCTTGTGATGACAAAAAAAAAAAAAAAAGATTGGCAAAAAAGACCGAGATTGATGTGAAAAAATTTCAACAAAATCGGCTATGCACTCTCGCTTTCATGGCATAGATCGAGGATGAAGAATCAGTCACTATTCTTCTTCTAGGGTTGGAAGATTTTTCAGCTAACTTTAAAGAGAAAGGGTTCAATTTTCTTTTGAAAAATCTACCCTACTTGATTCGATGAATCTACCCTGCATTAAGTGTTCAATAGTAGTAGTGAGATTTGAATTTTTTTGATTAGTTCGTTATATAGGAACCAATTAAGCAAAAAAAAAAAAATTTCTTAATTGGAGGACTATATTGTTCTATTTTAGAGATAGAGAACTATAACCTAAATTGGTAAAAAGATTGGAAGGATGATTTAGGTCATTTGCACTTTTTTTTTAACCAACTAAATTATACAAAATGTCATTGGTAACATCCATTTGTTGGCTTTAGATACTTTTTTTTGTTCATTGGTTTTAGATTTTTCTTTAAGGTTAAATGCAAAATATGCCTTTCAACTATCCTAGTAACTTGCCCCCTATACCATCAATTACACCTTATACCATTAATTGCAACAATCCGGTGACTTATGCTTTCAATTTATGGTAAAACATTCAAATCAGGTCAATTTAGCAATTTTTTTTGGACAAAAAGATTGTATTGTCCCCTAAATAACTACATTTCCTAGAATACCTTTGTGTTCCTTTTCTTTTTTCATCTTCTCCTTCCCTACACTGTCAAAATCATTGTCATTGTGGTCGCCAAATTAATCTTCTTTTCTCTTTAATAATATTTTTCTTCAAAAATCTTTTGGCACATCCTCATGGGAATTTTATAGACAATCAAGAATCACCATGCATGGACAAGAGCAAGGGTAGTTCCACTATCAAACTTCCCCTATTCTTCTCCTATTGTTGTTATTCCCATGTATCACCATTACCATAGACCCATGTAATAACAACAATTGCATCAGATTCATTTGGCAGATTTAATCACAATGTAGAGATTATTATTGCCATCGACAACTTGGTTGAGTCAAGGAGTTAATTCATTTAATTAATTAAAAATAAAAAAGATGAATGCTTCTTTATCAAATCCAATTGGCCTTTTTTTCCCTTCCCTTTTCTTTGCGTGGGTTTTTGAGCTAAGCCATCTCTAAGTCCATTATAAGGAAGGAAAAATAAAGGGTTGAGGAAATCAAATTTATGGGGCAAATTCGAGATCCAATACTTGATGATTAAGATGAATATTCTCCAAGGTTTCAACGAAAATAGCAAGACAAAAGCCACCTTGCTTTGACAAAAAGCCAAATTGGTGAATTTTGCCTTTGATTTAGAGATTTTGCAAGATTGCAACACCTGAGTCGTTGTAGTTATGTTCATAAGTGTAATGCTATTCCATGAAAATTACTACTAACTACAAAATAGGAAACCTTATAGTAGTAATTTATAACTAAAGCTAACTGGTGATTTGGAGTTGGAGACAGAGTCCTGAGTCAAAAGGAAATAGAGAGCTACAAGTTGGAATACATAAAAAAGTAATTTTATATTCGAAGGAAAAGCTATTAATATGCCTGGTTTAGATTGAAGTGGTCAGCTTAACATTTGCAAAATAAGTGGATTTTTGGCTACTTGATTTCTTTGATTTAGATAAATTTGTCATTCCAACTCTTGTTCAATTTGGTTTGAGTAATCTGCCAAAATTTGAGAGTAGGAGGTGATACATTATTGCAATTGGTAGTTCAGGGGCAAGTTACAAAATAGAGATAGTTGAGGTGGGTGTTTTGCAATTAACCCTTTCTTTAACCAACTAAATTATACTGATGTAATTTGCAAGTCCTTATGGATGAATAAATATTAGGAGCTTTGTATCCTAAGATAAGATTGTAGAGGGACACTCCTTCTTGCCTCAAATTCCAACAAGATGATGATTGATGTATTGACCAATAATGTTTTGTACTTGTATTGATTATTTAAATAGTAGAAAATGGGGTTAATAACACTTTGTCCTCCTGAACTAAGGAAGTAGTCGCACTTTACCCCTCTCAACCTTAAAATATACATTTTAGCTCCATAAGAATTAGTCAGAGTTAGGAATACCAAAAAAAAAAAAAAAATTGAGTGCAATGACATTATTACCTTTTTATTCATGGACTCATACATAACTTAGTATCATTTCCTTTCATTGCTAAAATATTTATAGCTTCTCAATCATATCAACTATATAGAATATCAAACTAAGAAAAGTTAAAAATGATTAATATTTAGTTTATATCTTTGAAATTTTTTCTGTTGGATTAATGTTCACATTTATATATGTTTTGTTCAATATATTAGACTTTAACTCAAACAAAATGGATAAATAAGACAACAGTAAAAATGAATACAACTGTCAAATTTTCCCATCAAGGGTAATGCTAAACTCATTTTAAAGTAGTTTTTATTATTTTTATTTATTATTTTCATTTTTATTTATCAAATTAGTCCAATATTAAATTCTTAATCAAATGGCTGATATGCCTTATTTTTAAAATTAGAGAAGGAAAATGGAAACTAAATCAAATTTCATTTTTTTTAAAAAAAGGCAATAATAGTAAGCTTTAAATATATCAACAAAAAATGAAAATAGTATTAGCCTAAAAGTTCACATAAACTAAAATAGTAAAAAAACTACTTTTTTAGTACTATTACCTTTTTTTGGAAAAGAAATTTGGTAATTATATGTTTATTTTAGTATTGTGTTATTTATTATTTTTATTTCACTTAAAGTATAATAAATTGAACAAAACATATATAAAAGTGAATATTAATCCAACATAAAAAATCTTAAGGATCTAAACTAAATATAAACTTTTTTTAGCTTTTTTCAAATATTGTTATATAGTTGATAAGATAGAGAAGATGCATACTTTTTAACAATGAGAGGAAATAAATAACAATGAGTTATAGATAATTTCATAAATAAAAGGGCAATAATGCTATTGCACTCACTTTTTTTTTTTTTTCAATATTTCTAACCTTGACTAGTTTTCATAGGGGGGTAAAGTGCACACATTTAAGATTGGAGGGGTAAAGGTGTGACTACTCACTAAGTTCAGGGTGGTAAAGTGTTATTAACCCTGAAAATATGCTAGCCAAATGGTACCTTGACATCTTTTCCCCTTTCTCTTCAGCTTCAAAACAATGCTTCAAAGCAATCAATTTGTGGCATCACTAACAAAACTCCGAATTATGAAGAGAAAAACATCAAGCCAACCTGCATCATCAACCCCTCCATCATCTCCACATCAATCTCCCCATTTCCCCGTCAAACTGAACTCCATATTCGATTCCAAAAAACCCAAAAACATACTCAAGAATTCCCCTGCAATCACCACAAAAGCCAGCGGGGAATGGGTACCATTGAGTATTGGAAAATCAGAGCTTTATTTACCTCTTACTTTCCCCACAGGCCAAACATTCAGGTGGAAAGAAACTGGCCCACTTCAATACACAGGTGTTATTGGGCCCCACTTGGTGTCACTGAAGCAGCTTGAGAATGGTGATGTGGGTTACCATTTTCATCATACAGAGTGTGAGGAAAGTGCAAGATTGGCGCTTTTTGACTTTCTGAATTTGGGGATTTCTTTGTCTGAAATTTGGGAGGAATTTAAGGTGTCTGATTTGCGGTTTTGTGAGCTGGCAAGCTATTTGGAGGGAGCCAGAGTGCTTAGACAGGACCCTCTTGAGTGTTTAATTCAGTTTCTTTGTTCATCGAATAATAATATAGGGAGGATTACTAAAATGGTTAATTTTTTGTCTTCTTTGGGGAAGTATTTGGGGAATGTTGGAGGGTATGATTTTCACGAGTTTCCGGAGATTAATCGGTTGGCTATGGTTTCTGAAACAGAGCTCAGAGAGGCCGGTTTTGGTTACAGGTTGGATTCTTGGATCATATTCTGTTATTTATACTGTAACCTTCTTTCAAAATGTAAGATTTTTCATTTTATTGTACGATTAGAATTAGAAATTGATTTGTTCAGTAGAGAAATTTTGGGACTTCTGAGTACTAATTGTGCAATTGAAGCTAGCATATGTGTGCTTTTAATGGTGATTGAATTGCTCTTTTTGTATTTGGCATCAAGTGGCAATTTCTTGTTTTAGTCTGAACCCCTGTATGAGAATTGTGATTATGTTATGGGGGAAATTAGTGGAGCTGAGGCAAAAGGCTCCATGAATGTTGGTTGATAAGATAGTCATTATAGCCTAAAAAGCAAATCTAAATTTTGATGTGTATGGGAGTGAATGTGAAAACATAAGCAAATCTAAAGTTGGAAGTGAAATAGGAATAAATGTGAAAAATATGGAGTCAGTCAAAGTAATCAATGAACGATCTGCTAATCTTTGCAAGAATCTAATTTCCTGGAAGGCTTGAAAAAAATTGTAGTAGTAATGATGAGTATGACAGAAACATAGAAACATGCTACAAAAATAAGGATAAATTGATTTTATACGTGGTTGTGGTCAGTTAAATTCTTTATTCTTAGCTATTTTTTCTGTAAAGTGTAAGCTGATTTGTCTTAGTGATGCAAATGGGAACAGGGATCCGGTAGTAGGCTTAGGTTGTCAGGAAAGGATGTGTCTGGGTTCAATTTTCTCTTTTTCTTAGTACATCTTATAATCCGGCTCGCTTATAAAACGCTGCAAAGATTAATGGACCAATTACGGTACAATAGAATTGCAATTCACTAGTCCGGGATTTGACAGCAGATTCAAAAGTTAGCGAGTATGACAGTTTTAATTTGCTATGGAAGGCAGACCTTGTGAATTTATCAGTGGAAAAGGGATGATCTTACTGACTGGTTTAACTGAAGTTTGTTCTAACTGTACCAGTTAGGGAACCCCAGCTCTCTGAAAAGGTCTTTGGTCTGATTGTGGTTTAGCTTAATCTGTTGTAGATAGTTTAGTGATGGCTAAATGTAGTTTTGCGCAATTTTAATTTCATAGATATGCACAAATTACTAAATGATTTTAAGGTTCGCTTAAATATGGGTTGACTTTGTCCTGATTAAACAGAGTATCTTACCTATAACAACTTGATTTTAGCTATTTTAGCATTTAAAAAGAAGGATTAATTAGTTTAGACTTCTTAGTTTTTTTGTTGAATCAATCAGATTATGCATAGTAAAGAGTATGCCAGGATTAAGGATCGGAATCTTTCTATGATGTAGTTTTTTATCCTGGAATGTCAAAGTTACCTGTCCACACAAAGTAAACAAGATTTGAAAAATTTTTCTTTCTTCCTTATGCTAACATGCTGGATTCTTTTGTACACTCATCAGATCATGCTTTACCTGAACTGTATTCTTGTGTGTTAATTTTCTAAATCTTCTCTTTCTCAAACTCTCTCCAAGCTTGCACTTAGATGACAATTGTAGCAAGCTTTACTCTCTTTGATATCAAATATCCACGTAGTAAATGTTTATTTACCTAGGTTAAGGAATTCACAGATGCTGCTTTTAGTCAATAAGTATCTTAATCTAGTGACCTAACAAACCAAGTGATGGGCAGCTATTGCAGTTAGGGGCAGGTTTAGAAGTTACGTCCCTTGCCTGATAAGGAAGCTCTTACATGATTCATGAATCTCTAATAAATTCTCAAGTTCTGCACTAAATTAAAATTTGAGGTGGAGAATTCCATAAATTCCCAAATCAACTCCACTAACAAAAAGAAACTTCTATCCTTTAAAGAGATAAATGGTCATGCTCTGGAAACATTTATATGACAAACATCTTAAGCATATATTATTAATGAGAAAACATACATTGGGAGACAATAATAAACTCTGCAGTTAGGAAGCTAGTCCCTTGCAAGAAGATAGTTACATCTAATATCTGCCAACCCAAGTCTTCTTATTTTTCTGAATAATCTCAATCAAATAAAATGTTCTCCAAGGTCATGCAAATCATTCTCCTACTACTACTTTATTTGCAGGATTATACTTTATTGAAGGTACTTGAATCTTTGTACATTTGATCTTTTATTTCAAATGCTGCAGATATTTAACCATATTTTCATTGTCAAAACATGAATAGGGCAAAGTACATTATAGGTACCGTAGAGGCTTTGCAATCAAAACCCAGCGGTGGTCTGCAATGGCTTGCTGCTCTTCGTAAACTAAATCTTGAAGAGGCTGTTGATGCTCTTGCTTCGTTACCTGGAGTTGGTCCCAAGGTGGCTGCCTGCATAGCACTCTTCTCTCTAGATCAACACCATGCTATTCCTGTTGATACGCATGTGTGGCAGGTTAGCCCCTGAAAATTGATCTTTGAAGATGTACATTTCCCATAATAAACTGATATGATGAGGATCTTTGACATTCTTAATGTTTTCTGCTGATCAAAAAACTTGAGTTGATGTTCTCCAGTCCTCAGAGGCTTGTTTGACAAGGAGAAAAGCTTATGTATTATCCCACCTTTCTTGTAACCTATAGTAAACATTTTTGAGGTTTTTGACTCTAGTTTATAGATACCGGTCACTGCTCAAGTACATAACTTTTCTTTGAACTGATTCTTGGCTGATTTTCGCTTGAATGTATTTCAGAGGTATTAAAGGTGGAACACTCCCAACACGCTCCCCTCCAACTCCAAACCAGGATAAAAAAGGAAAAAAAAAAATAGAAAGAGGCATCGAGGAAGTAAAAATCCTAGTTGATAGTTTGGTAAAAGCTCTTGCTGTTCTCAGGGTAATAAATTGTTTAGCTAAAACAAGGAAAGGGCAGGTTATTACTGTTGTAGAAAAAATACTAGAAAATGGACTCAAGGTTGTATGGCATTACACCTTGTCAATTTACTTTTATTCTTCTGCATGGAAAAAGGTGTTGCATCTTATGAAAGTGATACACCCAACGAAGATTACCTGGTCATATATAGAACTTACCTTATTGGTATACATATGGCATGCATTTTACCTCTATTTCTTAAGATTTTGATTTCTATAAACTGCTAACTAGAATATCCTTCTAATATGGGTTGAGAAAGATTGCAACGCAATACCTCATCCCTGAGCTTTCAGGCACCCGTTTTACACCAAAACTTTGCAGCCGCGTGGCAGATGCTTTTGTGTGCAAATATGGGAAATATGCTGGCTGGGCCCAAACTCTACTTTTTATTGCTGAGTTACCTTCACAGAAAGCAATCCTGCCTTCAAGGTTTTGCGATGCTGAAAAAGTTAAGCCTGCCAAGTCAAAAGAAAGGAAAAAGGGGGCGCACAATGCTAGAAGTAGAAGTATGGATGGAAATGAAAATATTGTTCTTCATTTTTTTTATTCATAAGGGTTGGAGTTATTCTTCAAGGAAACAATTTCCTGCATGTGCAAAATTAGCTGAAGTGAATGTCAAACAGATGGAATCTGGAGACCTCTTTGCTGTATGATAGTCTGAGATTTTTAATTGCAGATATTGTAGCAGTAATTGGAGGCACAATTTCCTATCTTTCGGCTACTGTTGTTTCTCTTTAGTGCGTTATTCTTCTGATCAATTGTTTCTTTTCTTTCTGTTTTTTGGTACAAAGGTGACTTTCTTGTTTGTTTTCTGCTGAACTGCTCATCAAGCATGATGTTTTTTCACTCTGCATGTATGTGCATTTGGAGATGCAGCATCTGTGAATTTCTTTTGTTGCTCTTCATCTTTATTGTGCGGTTAAGAAAAAGATAAGGACCATAAAGAATACTTGGAAGACACTTTCCTAAAAGAAGAGTTAAGCTATTATGAATGAAAATAAAATGTTACATAACTGTGGCACTGATATTGCTAGTCACTAGTTCTTTGTAGGGTAAGTCACTAAAAAGCATCAAACGTTTCTGACAGGATTTATCCTCATTGTTCTATTGCAGGTAATGTAGCAACAGCGAGGCAAGAGTAGCACCATATCTGTCTGTTCAAAACACTCTGTTGGTATCTAGATTCTACAGCTATCACATCTGAAGGAGAGGTAGATTCTATTTGAAGAGTATTATTATTGGACTGAGATTGATGATTACCCAAGAACAACTTGCGACAAGTATTCTTTAAGCATCTACTTCATATAAACATTGTTCCTCTAATGACTGATATGCTATTTTAAGTTTCAATTTTTACACTGATGTTCCAATTTGAGGGACTGATAATCATCCTCCTAATTACCCAATTCGACTAAATGTTGTGTTTAAATATTTACTCTTGAGGAAATGATTACAAGTTCTACAAAGTGGTGTGGGTTTTTTCCGTATGTTTTCATTGATAGTGCATATTATTCAACATCAGAGATAATAGCAATAGAGACTTCTAGCTAATTTGATTAGCATATGTGATGATCAAATTGGTTCATGGTAAATGTTCAAAGCACTGAAAGATTCCCTAAAGGTAATGAATGAGATTACAATTATTCAAACCTTTCATGTTTTACACTCTTAGATAAGTTTTTGCTCTTTATGCATCTCAAAAAATGTTAAATGTAGCCACAAAACTTTCCCTTTTTGACATCTTAGTAAAACTTTTTGGGTGCACTATACTACTTATTTAAGTTCCCTACATTGCGGAGTGCAATACACAGCAATTATTATTATTATTTTTTTTGGGAAGATGAAATTGAATCCCATGATTTGCATTACTTTAGTATTTCGGAGGCTTTTGCAGTTGGTGCAACAACATTTTGTGTCTGTATTTCCTTCTAATCTAGATCAGTACACAGAAATAGCTTTAAAGTTTAAAGATAAGTATAAAGATATATAGTAACAAAATACCAGGTCTGGTATGGAGAGCTATCAGCTGCGAGGAATGAGACCCAATACCTACATATACTCTGGCCATTGATCCATGCTTCACCTTTACCCATGCAGCCAAGGTTTACTGCTAAAGGAACATCAAACATAATCTGTTGTTTCCAATCAAATGAATTTCTTTCAAATCACGTACAACTCAAACTATATGTGTTTCAAGAAAACATGGATGAGAGAAAAAAAAAAAAGAGAGAAGGATTTGAACTGTTAGTATTATTTTTTGACATGCGATAAGATCATAAAAGGTGCATTGAAGCTTTGAACTTTTAGATAATGGACTTTTCTTTACAGAATGATCTTATATTTTGTAAATAGATTTAAAGATCAATATTGTGCTCTAATAATGGGTTTTATCTTAGTGGGGTATCTTCAATATGGGAATCTATGATTTCACTCTACTGGTCTACTGAGTCAAACTTCATCACTGGTACAATTGATTTCTTGTTACCTGTTCCAAAGTTTTTACTTACTATGATTAATTCCTTTGTGATGGTGCAATGGCAGTAAGACTTTCCTTTTATACAATATGGAATACCTTTTATCTGTATATGGGGAGGAAATGGGAAACCTAATCATAGTGAATAAGTTTTTACTTCCACTATTGCTTCCTTCTGCAATTAAACAAGGTCGGGAAATAGGTGAAAGTGCTCTGCACAATGTTTAGACCAAAGATACATTCATCTAGTGAAGCCTTTTTTTTTGCAGTTAAGATGTTTTGTGACATTTCCAAATGATAAAATTAAAAGCTCCAAAACTTGCCTGGGTGGTGTTGAATGCTACGGTCTTGTAATCAGGTAAAAATAAAAGCTCTAAATTGATGTTTGAGGTAGTTCATACGAAGGATTTTGGAACTGCACCACCAGTTATGTTGCATTGTCCTTGTTCACAAGGAAAGCTGCACAGTGACTCTGCATTGCATATGTTGGCCTGTGTCAATTAAGTTGATCAGTATTGTGGTGTATTTAACATCTGATGAATATTTTGTTGATTTTATTCTTCCATTTATTTCCCCTTAGCGGGAGAGTTGAAATGCATAACCAGGTACTGTCATGGTTGCTAGCTTCAGAGAAATCTCAATATGGAAAATGAGATAACCACCATCTGAAAAAAAATGAAGTTGCTAATCTTTCTTATTGCTAACCTAATGGTGCTATGGTTGTTATCTAGAGAGTATTGTATGTGAGGATAGCTTTATTGCTGCATGTTACTCCTTGAGGTGTCCATAAGTTTTGCTTGTTACTGGAATCTAATTATACCGTGAGATTGGATTGCCTACCATATTCATCAATAGGAGCTTGATCATAATAAATTGTGATTATACTTACCAAAAAAAAAAAGTTGTGATTATGTATTATGATGCTGTTCTGCCAATATTGGTACCTCCATAACCCTAGAGCACAACTAACACAACCAACCATGTTACATCAAACTTTTGGTACTATGAGCTATAATTGATTAACAGTATATCTAAATTAAGTGGACGAGATAAAATGGATTTTCATTCCATATCGTTATGGATGAGATAAAATGGATTTTCATCGTAAATCAGGTGAAATGGTTTACATATCACTCCTTCAAGATGGTGGAGGGGTGGAAGTCTTGTGAGATTGTTTCTGTCTCTCACCCTGTACTAGTTTATAAAGCTTCTGTTCTTCCTTGGTATGATTAAAGCATTGAGTGTAATATCTTGTGCTGATCCATAGACTTGATAACTTCAAGCCAAAACAGAAAACTAATTCTCAGGATATTTTGTTACACTCAATCATCTATGCATCTATACACTGACCCTTATGGTTTGATTTCTTACAGACTTGTCCAAATCTGTCCAGATTGATGGTGTGTTGGGCGAATTAGACCCTATTAATGTCACTCGACATTTCCTCCCCTTATCGTGTTTTATCTGCAAATTTTGAAAACCTGAGTTTGTTCATTTTGCAGAGGCAGTGGAACTGCAACGGTAGCCCCTTTTGCATCAATCTTAATACTGTGTGAAAAGATGATGCATTCATGAAAAGAATACTCATGCTTCACACGTTAAAAATTTGTCAAGCCATACATTAAATGTTCGTGTTGTTTAGAAATGCATCATTAATATAGACTAGCTAAGATTGGCCTACTGAAAAATTTCTCGAGGATATTCATATAGTTGATATCCTACTGATTTTAGAGAAGTGATTACATCTGGATCAGGTGCATCATCTTGCTTGCACGTTTCCCATGCGAGCCAATTTGATGTCCTACAGCTGTGGCTGCAGCCCATCGGGCATTAGGTGGACCTTTGTCTCTAAAAGCTTTCTCTACATTTTGGTACTCGTTCTCAATCTGCAGTATTCAACTGCAGCATGACAGCTTCAAATGCATGGTGCTGTGTCAATTGTAATAATAATATATCAACCTGTTGAAGAATGATAGGCCTCCTTATGGAGCTTACACTCCTAGTTTGAACAAGTTGGTCCCTTCGTGGACATCCGGAAAAATTGGAACGATACAGAGAAGATTGGCATGGCCTCTTGCCCCTGCGCAAGGATAACATGCACAAATCAAGGAATGGATAACAAGTTGCCAATTCTTCTTGTGTAGTTTGGCATGTAATATTGTCATAAAAGAAAAAGAAAATGTGATTGGCAATAACTCTATTATGCCATATTGACATCTCGTGACTTTTTGATTGTGAAGTTCTCTTGATCAACTAGATATGAACTTTGAAAAGTATGCTAAATGAACCATGGAACACATTTAGCTGGGAAAATGAACTAATTCTTAAATTTACCTTTTAATGGAGTTGAAACCAGAACCAGTCTAAATTTGAGAAGCACTTCTGCGGCTTGCAAATAGATTGTTGTCTGTGGTAAACGAAACTGGCTGACCTTAAAGGGTTCATTATCAGGTAGGAAAACGATTCTTTGGGAAATCATGCTACCAAAATGGTAGATCTCTTAAGCACCATATCATTTTCTTTAGTGATGGCTGATGAAGGTATATGATAATATTTTCCTATTTATGCAATAGACACGATCTATATTTATATCTACATCTATAGCTATTTAGATCTACATTTTATATTAAAAGAACGAGTTCGATTGGTGATTTAGATTTTCTTTCCAATTATATTCTAATCAAAAAAGGAAAAATTCAATAATGATTAATTGTTCTGATTCTTTCTATTGTATGCAGAATTAATTTGAACTAGGAGAGACAACAAAATCTTTTTGGTGAACTAGTCAAACTCAACTATTTTTGAATTTCAATGCCATAGAACTCAAACAATTGGGATTAAAAAGAAAAGTTTGTTGAAGGGTATTTAAATTGACATTTACAACAGCCTACGTTTAATTCAACAAGAAAGGTTATTGTGGGATTCGATATCCGTTTTGTAGAGATTAGGAATTCAAATCGTGTTGAATCTTACTCGTTAGGATAGTGATATATAGTTCGAGAAGTCTCAGTTAAAGAGCATTCTCATTTTAATGTGGTTGATGTGACCTGTGTTGCCTGACGTTGACACCAACAGAGTCTATTTGACATATCTATAGCTGATTTATAACTTATCTACGATCATAAAGACAACTTGACCTACAAGGTATAATATACAATTTTGCCTATAAATACTCCCTTTTCTCCGGACATTTGAGGTAACAGATAATTTTCTAATCATCTCGTTACTCTATTCCTAAGCCTTCTTCCCACTTCCCTATCTTTGGCTTGAGCATTGGAGATACGATGGGGGATAAAATCCCCTCCTCTCCTTTGTTTATTCTTGTTGTGAGCGCAGGACACCCCACCCGTTTACATAAAGGACTGGATCGGCTAAACCCGTGCTCGTATAGTTTTGCCATTAATGATTCCTATAATTCAAAAGAATATGTTTTGCAACCCATGAATTGGTTTGAAAGGGAGTTAGGAACAAGAGCAACCACTGGCCCTGATCCAGTGGCCACCAGTAGGAATTTAAGCTACTTAATGGATGTAGGTTAGGGGGATGAACCCCCTTTACAGTTTACTCTCTCCAGAGTTTCCTGGGTTATTTTGCTCCTTTTGTCTCTTTCAATAAATGTTAGTCATGCAACTTTTGAAATACGTTTCCCACTCAACATTGGACCTAAAAGTAGAGGTTTTGTGATTTTTGCCCAACGCACTCAAAACTTCTCATGAATATTGTGTGAAAGCATTAATTATTAAAGAAACCAAAAAAGAAAAGTAAAAAAAAAAAATCTTTGACATACGAGTCTGTTAGTTGGTAACAATATGATCAAATTTACTCCATTCATTATGTTATGATTTGTTTTTTTGGCAGGCAGGATTGGTTTTGGTGCTACGTAAGAGCATATTCAAATGTAAGCTGCTTTGAGAGCGAGCAAAAAGCTCTTCTCGAATTTAAGAGAGGTCTAGTTGACAAATCAAATCGTTCGGCATCCTGAATTAGAGAAAATTGTTGTTTATAGGAAGGAATTGACTGTGGCAGGAACACTCTGGCATGTAGTGAAACTTGATCTTCGTAATAACACTACTTTTTATTCTGATCGATTTATCCATGGGGACATCCAAAATTATATCTCTATCCTGCGTAAAACTTGCTTGGGAGGCCAGATAAGTCCTTCATTAGTGAACTTGTAGCATTTGCATTACTTGGATTTAAGCTCGAATTATTTTGCAGGAATTCGGATCCTCCCAACATTTATAGGATCCGTAAACCCATTTCATTGCACCATTGAAGCAAGGGTTTGGGAGGTATTTTGTGCCTATAAAAGGCTCATAAACGCAGCCCTAAAGAGAAGGAACAAGGGAGAGCGGTGGAGGGAAAAGAAAAACAGCAAAAAGAGAGAGAAACGGAGAGAAAAGGAAGAAAGACTTGTTGCAGAATTTTCGCAAAAAAGGGCTGATTTTCAGCCATTTTTTGAAGGGATTTTGTATTTCATTTTAGCTTGATTCGAGTAGATTTTGGTTTCTATGCAAACTAGGTAGTTAGAAGAAGAGGTTTTGTTCAGATTCTTCTTGCAAAAAACATTGAAAAAGCCCCCAAATTCGGACACCAAATCCGCTACTTCGTTTCACTGGTGCATGCCTGAAAACTGAGCCAGGGTGGATCGTTTGGCTCTGTTGATGATCCAAATCCGATCTCAGTTTTACCCCTTTATGTTTTTTCTTTATATCTACACCATCTACGCTCATTAGGGAATAATCTTTGTTCAGAAGATCTTTAGAAAAAAGGCTTGCAAGTCTCTCAAATCTGGGCCAAAATTCAATGCACCATCAGTCTTGAAGTGAGTTCCTGGAAGTTTTGCAGCTTCACTTTGTCGCTCTTAAGTTCATCTTCCTTCAAAGTTTATTGCATCCTCTCATTAAAAGGTAGCTCTTTTTGCTGGCTTTATCTCTATGTAAGCCTAAATCCTGACCCAAATCCGTCAAGACTCTCCTGTACTTGTGTTTGCCATTTCAATCTTTTAATATTTTTCTTCCTTTTGTGTATCATTTAGCTCATATTCTTGCTTTGATTTTGATTAAAGAAATGATAATTATGTAATAAGGTCGGGTATTGATGATAGGATAGTGTAATATCGTGGTTTTGACTTGAAAATTCGATGCTTGTTTGGATTTTGGTTCCCTCCATTTTGACATGAAAACTCAGAAATGTTCCAGAAGGAAGAAAGCTTCTTCGTATAAGGCTGCTTTTTTTTAAAATTACAGTTTCGCCCCCAATTTTTACATAATTTCACTATAGCCCAAAAACTTCTGAAAATAGACCATTTTGACCCATTTTAAATTTTAATCATCGTTTACATATTTTAAAAATGTTTTTGGGTAGAATAATTCTGGGTTTTAGGTCAATATTAGGATTAAATAATTTTAGTTGATTTTTATCATGTTGGGTTTTAGTGAAATAGGTAATTTGGATTAAAAGGTTATTTTTGTTTGGGTTTAAGAGAGTGGGTTTGGTTTATTTTTTTTAGGTTTTTATCTTGGGCTGGAGGGTTAAAGCCCATCAGTTTTGTTGAATTTTTTGGGTCAAAATGATGGACTGGCCCGCTCCTTTTGCCTTGGACTTTTGATTGGGTTTCGGAGGCTTTGGCCCAAAGAAATAAGAAAGATGGCCCAATGACCCACTTCTCTCAAGATTTGATAATATAAGTTGCAAATCAGTCCCTGTACTTTTAAGTAATTATACTATGACCCTAAAAACTTTTAAATTCTTTCAATTAGGTTCCTAATGTAATTGCAAATAGCTTATCTTTATTTTTATTTTATTTTGACCCTTAAATTTTGTAATAATTACAAATTGACCCCTAAAAATTTTTTTGCAATTAAATCCCTAATAGTTTTGATTTCTTAAATACAAGTTGCTTTTCTTTTTTAATTGTTAATTGTACTTCATTTAAGTGCTTTAATTGATTGATTTCATGATTATTTTTATTTCTTTATAATTAAATTGATGCCTTGATAATTTTCTTGATTTTTGAGCATAAAAGGGCAAATTTCACCCCATTCAACCACAACTTCAAGGGAGGTATCTTCTTTATTATTTTAACTTCTCTTATGTGCTCCTATGTGATTTTTATGTGTAATTACATCTTTTGAGTGCTTTTTGTTTCCTTTAATTACTCATTTTATTCATTTTAAGTTTCATTTATTCTATTTAATTTTGATGATTATTTGTGAGGCATTAATATGCCAAATTACAATAGATAGGTGCTCAAGACATGTATTTAGCTAGCCTATGTAATAGATAGGTTTTAATTTTTGCCAAAATGTATTTAGTTAGATAATTGTAATAGTTAGGTTATTATTTTTAAATTCCCCCCTTAGATTGTAGTTAGGGTTCCAAATGTAATAGTTAGGCCGTTATATGCGTTTCTTTGCTCGTGTGCTTGCATGCCTATGTGTTTATGTGTTTATTCGCTTTCTTTAGGATTTTTGCATCTAGATATCATGCGTACGTGTTATGTGATCTATGTGTTTTATATGTTTACTTGCTTTAATTATGTTTTATATGATTTATTTAATTATAATAAATGTATGACGTCACCACACTAGTTCAACGCTAGTTGTGGCCATTCCCCCCGATTTCTCACTAGTCCAATGCTAGTGAAGACTTTTAAAAATGTGCTAGTCCAATATTAGACCTTTTAGGCCGTTTTCGCGCTAGATTTATAGTGTTTGAGTGACATTCATCACATTTCATACATATTTTTCATTTTTAGGGTCTTTTCTCAACTTGCATGATATTTCATTTATATATTATATCCTTTACCCCTATGTATGCGAAACATGACATTTAGACTTGCATTCCATTTAGGAAATTAGATATAGGTTAGTTAATTTGCTTGACTAGGTTAGAGGAGTTATCCTTAAAAAATGGGAAATGAATGAGTGTGGCTTAGCACACTCTCATCCCCTCTATAAAAAGGAAAATTGAGTCACGAATCTTAGTCCCCTATACCCGTCATGTTGCATCCCTCTCTTAGGTCACATATATTTATTTTATCTATTATAATTCTTCTTTTTCTTTGAATCTCATATTTGCATATTCGTGACCTCTTTTAAGAATTATTTTTGGACATCACAATTAAT